AAAAAAAAGAATATGACATAAGCAAAAATAAACAATTTTACTTATGTCATGTTTTACTATCCAAGGATACCATATAAGAAAGATATAGCAAATGTAGATTTTTTTGTTGAGTTTGCTACATGAGACCTTTCTAAATCTGTGTGAACTGTTTTATTTTTACAAGTCTTACTTCCCATCTAAATACAAACCTGTACGTTTCCTTCATTTCAGTAAAGCTTTTTAAAAATTTTTTTTCAAAGATTTTATTTATTTATTTGACAGAGAGAGAGACAGTGAGAGAGGGAACACAAGCAGGGGGAGTGGAAGAGGGAGAAGCAGGCTTCCCGCCGAGCAGGGAGCCCGATGCGGGGCTCGATCCCAGGAAGCTGGGATCATGACCTGAGCTGAAGGCAGACGCCCAATGACTGAGCCACCCAGGCGCCCCAGCTTTTTAAAAATTTTGAGTGGTTATATTTCTTGGAATGTGCCAACACTGTCACACATCACTATTATTTTGTTAATACCTTGTGTGACTTGACAGTTTTTACTGGGGCTCCATCCCAGGACCCTGGGATCATGACCTGAGCTGAAAGCAGATGCTTAAATTTATAAATTTACAGTTATGTTAGAATTTGTATCACTTTATTCTGATGAAATAGATGTTTTCATTTTTATATTCTAGGTCAACAGAATTAAACAACAAAATATATTAAATGATGAAGTCAAGTTTGCCGTATCAGCCAGCTTAGATTACATCATGGTGTGGTAACAACTCCACAATTGTACTAGCTGTGATGAGAAGATTCATTTCTCACAGGCTACATATCCAAGGGCTCCTTTCTTTTTCTTTCTTTCTTTCTTTTTTTTTTAGATTTTATTTTTACTTTCCACCCAACATGGGGCTCAAGCCCATGACCCCAGAGATCCAAAGTCTCACACTCCACCCACTGAGCCAGCCAGGGGCCCCTAGGCGCTCCTCTCTTGAACTAGTCTTGCAGGAGGCAATCAAACATATATTCATACGTTGAATATATCACTTCCATTCATTCTTAACTGGCCAGAATCTGGAACAGGTTTCATCAAATCCAAGGGGGACAAGAAACACCCTCCTGCTTGGTGGAAATTCAGATTACCCGGGGGGAGGGCACCAAGGATGCTCCTATTCACAAGGGTGAAATAGTGAATGAGGTCTTTAGAATGCAAACTCTTTGATTCACTGAGTATTTGCATTGATGAACTACCTGATATTGTATTTCTAAAATAAGCCCATCTTGATTACATATATATTTTTTCTATAGCTTTATTATTTCTTCATTATTATTTTTAAGATTTTTATTTAATTATTTGACAGACACAGTGAGAAAGGGATACAAGCAGGGGGGGTGGGAGAGGGAGAAGCAGGTTTCCCGCTGAGCAGGGAGCCCGATGTGGGGCTCGATCCCAGGACCCTGGGACCATGACCTGAGCCTAAGGCACACGCTTAATGACTGAGTCACCCAGGTGCCCCATATAGCTTTATTTTTTAAATGTAATTATCTGGCTAGGGTGTATTACACTTAACACTGGCTTTATAAAATGGTATGCGGGAGTTAGCCCATTTTTGCATTACCTGTGATAGTGTTCCCCATGCTCAACTTCTCTGAACTTGGAAGATAGAGAACTTCCTCTCGCAACTCTCTGGTGCCTGTATCTTTCTCAGTGTCCAACCTTCAAACTTTTTTCAAATCTCTTTTTAGGTATTTTGTTTATTTATATTTTGCACTTTTTATTTGAGTCACTGAGTAATTTATATTTTGCTAGGAAATCACCAATTTCATTGAATGTTAAAATTTGTTGCCATAGAGTTGACGATGTGCTCTTGTACACTTATCCCCCCCCCCAATTAACTTGTGTTTTTAGTGACAATGAGCTGCACTGAAATTTATGGGCAGGCTAGAGGCAGAATGAATAAGTAGAGATAAATCTTTTATACAGAGGCCAAAAAATTTATACCCATGATGTGCTGGCATCCAGTAAATTCTGCCAGAATAAATAAACATAATTTTTAAGGAAATTGCTTTATTGTGAGCCTTTCACTCTTTATGTAAAATTATTATTAGTGATAATAACATTATTTTATTATTATATTGAATTATTATTTTTGTAACCATGGTTAGTTTTTTTCTATTTTGCTAAATACCTATAATTGTCTTTTCTCCTAATTTTCTTATCAGAATCACAGCTTTGTCTATTTTATTGATATCAAAAAATAATTCACTCATATTATTCTTTCTAATATTTGATTTTTATTAATATAATATTCTAATTTTTTTTTCCCTAACTTGCTAACATTAGCAATAAGTTCCTTTACTTTTGGTCTTTCTGTTTGATACTGGGTCATTTGTCTCCTAGCATAGGCTTCCTTTCTCATGTTATCATAATAGAAAGTGTTCCCAACAACAGGGTTTTTGGGTAGCGTATGCCTTCAGGCTTGAGGCTTTATCTTTAGAGTACCTGTCTATGGTTCTTTTGGTATCATATGTTTCCGCTATAACTGTCATATGATCAGCACATGTGGCCTGGACCTTATGATCAATTATAGAATTGATTATAACAAGTAATACTTGAGAAAAACAAAAAATGTGTATACTCTCTAAGGAACTTGAGATTCCTTCTGTGTCTCTTCAATTAAATGTGCTTGTGTTACTAAATCTTTCAGTTCCCATTTGATTTTTTCCAACTAGATCTACTTGATTCTAAAAGGAACATTTCTACTTCTCTTCAGCAAGGACATCAGTTGGGGTATCTACTTAGTTATATTATCAGAGTATCTATGTATACTCTCTGAGATTCACCAGGGCTCAATAGTTGGGTTTCTCAGGATGAGTAAATTAAAAAAAAAAAAAAATCTCTTTCACTGTTAACTAGTCCTTTGTGTTAACAGTTTTCTGTGTTAACCCATAGCTAGGTTTTGATTGAACTTCTCTGAAGGTCCTTCCAAATAATGAGAGAATGGTCCATTCACATTTAATAGGATACTTTCTCCTGCTGTCTGACTTTATTTGTAACATCACCTGCCACTTCTTAGAGCCACTTCCTTCCCCTGACCGTGCTGACGAACCTACTTGCCCTGCAGCTTGTAACACATCTGCACACAGCATTTTACAGGTAAGCACACCAAAGACAGGGAGAATCATGGCCGGGAGAGAGCACGGACTAGAAAGTACTCTTTTTTTTTTTTCTTCCAACTTCTTTCTTATGAAATTACCCATGCTTCACAGCCAGTAATGATAGGCTTGGGGGGAGCAGTACCAGCAAATATATACACATAGGCACTGTCATTGGCTCAAGTGATACTTGAGCACCCACGAGTGCAGGTTTACTTATTTATAAAGGATAATTACCCACCTATTTATTAATGCTAGATACAATGTAGCATTTAAAACCTATACATGTAAAATATGTGATAAAAATGGTAAGAATGGGAATCCTTTAATGTACTCTTGCCCTTCAGTTTGTCAATTTCCCACCCCCACCCCATAGGCCTCATCGTCCACCAAACTTAGTACTTCATGAAAGTGTGAAAGTGAGAACATCTTTATGGAGCTTTCACACAATCCTGACCTTTAGACGAAGAATGCTAACTCTGATAGTTGGGCTGAGGGATAGGGTTGTGAGGCACGAGCCCACTCCATCACACTGCTCGTTAGCTGACTGGAGAGTTTATTCTTCCACGTTTAGATTCTGGTTCTGCTTAGACTGCCTGCATGGGAATGTTAGGTTGATCATTCTTGAGAGAAGAGAATCACCTTCAACTCTAGGTTATATTTGACACATTCTTTTGAATTTACTTATTGTAAAATAAACACCTACTGACTGAAGACAACTGAGAAAATAAAAAAAACAGTGGAAAAAAATCACCCATCACTGTGACTAACATTTTGGTGTATACTCTCTTTTCAGGCTTTTAAAAATTATTATTATCATGAGACATTTAAATATTTATATGTTTAAAATGGCATATTACAACACAAGTGGTCATATTATCTGGTCTTTCACATGATAATGTATGATGAACATCTTTGATGTTACAGTATTTGTGGTGTATGTATCCCAGTGTATGAATGTGTGATAATTTATTTAACTGATTCTCTGTTGTTTAAAACTGAATTGTTTGCACCTTTGGTTGTTATGTTTAATACTGCAAAAAAGCATTCTTGAAAAAAAAATAATCTTTTCAGAGTTGCTTGAATATAGCCTTACAACCAGAAATACAATTTATAGCTCAAAAAGTAAGAAAAGAATTAAGACCCTTAATGTGAATTTACACTATGATGCCGTAATTTTATACCCTCAATGGCATGGCCAGAAAATGTCAGTTATTCCTCAACCTTACCAATAATTCATCTTATTAAGGTGTTCAAATCTTTGCCCATCTGGTGACAGAAATGGTACTTTACCTTTACATTAAAATTTGTATGTTTTTGCCCATTTGAAAAGACTACATACTATATGATTGTAACTGTGTGACATTCTGGAAAAGACAAAGCTATAGAAATAGTAAAAAGATCAGTGGCTGCCAGGGTCTGGGTGTTGGGGAAAAGGTGAACAGGTGGAGCACAGGATTTTTAGGGCAGTGGGACTACTCTGTGGGATATTACAATGATGGATACATGCCATTATGCATTTGTCCAAACCCACAGAATGTACAATGCCAAGAGTGACCTATAATGTAACTATGGACTCTGGGTGATGATGATGTGTCACTGTGGGTTCGTCAGTTGTAACTAATGAACCATCTGTTGGGGATGTTGTTCATAGTGGGGGAGGTTGTGCTTGCGTGGAGGCAGGAGGTATACGGAAAATCTCTCTATCTCCCATTCAATTCTGCTGTGAACCTAAAATTGCTCTTTAAAAAAGTCTATTTAAAAATGTATTTCTTGGGGCACCTGGGTGGCTCAGTCGTTAAGCATCTGCCTTCGGCTCAGGTCATGATCCCAGGGTCCTGGGATCAAGCCCCATGTCAGGTTCCCTGCTCTGCAGGAAGCCTGCTTCTCCCTCTACCTCTGCCTCTGCCTGTAGCTCCCCCAGCTTGTGCTCGCTCTCTGTCAAATAAATAAATAAAATATTTAAAAAATGTATTTCTTGGTATTTACTGGAGGTAAGTTTTTTACAAAAGTTTTTCTTAGCTCAATTTGTGTGGGCCTTTGGATAGGGTGTGAATATATATTCTAAGTAACTATTTTTCATCTGAGTAAACATTAGAGGTGATATGCTCCTTATTCTGCATCCGCCCCCCAGTTTTCGTACACAGTTAACCAGAGTAGAAATGTCAAGAAGAAAATTAGTTAGGCAGTATTTATATCAGCTACATTAAGGGCAATAAGACAGCATTGCTACTAAAAACTATGCCCTTGTTATAGGCTGAATTATGTCCCTCCAAAATTTGTATTTGGATTTTTCGTTCCAGCAGCTGAAGATGTGACCTGTTCAGAAAGAGGGTCCTTTTAGATGGAATTAGTTGAGATGATTTATCAGCATGGCTCTGCTCTAATGTGACTGGTGTCATGAGAAAGAGGGGAAATTTGGACACAGAGGTGCTCTCACATGGAGAAAGTAGGGATGATGCTTCTGCCAGCCGAGCAACTCCAGAGATGCCAGCCACCCCCAGAAGCTGGCGGAGAACCAGAACAGATTCTCCATCTCAGCTCAATGGGAACCAGCCCTGCTGACACCTGCTCTTGGACTTCCAGCCTCCAGGACTGTGAGATGCTCAATTTCTACTGTTTAAGCCTCCGGGTCTGTGGTGCTTTTGATAGTAGCCCTAGGAAACCCACATGGTGGTTTGTCCCTTTGTTTGTGAAGTTCGATACACCCATCTCAAAGGAAAATAACGCAAATGATAGGAGACCCTCACCTTCACAGCGAGGGACAGTGGAGCTCCAGACGACATTCCCATCCTGCAGAATGCAGGTGATGGACTCTGACCCCTGGGTTTTGACAAAGCCATCATCACAATGGAAAGAAACCGAACTCCCCAGTAGAAATCTGTCACCAAAACGTCGTCCATTTATGGGAATGCCAGGATCGTGGCACTCATTCTGACCAAATGCTAAAAGGAAAAAAAAAACAGAATTGAATAAAGATACTTGAATATTAAGTATGTGTATTTAAAAAGAAAGAAAGCCTACTAATAAAGCAATTTGTTGTTCTAAATTTCAGTTATACATTTATAGATTGATAAATAAATGCATTAAACAAATAAGATATTGATATCTAGTAAGACAGAGAGAGAAAGAGAAAGAATAGATGGATAAATACATACAACTATCATCTATACCACATTTCACAGTTTGAAAGCACTTTTCATATGCACTAAGAAAAACCATAAATATGGCAGTGCTGAAGGGATTTGGTTCAGATACATCTGAGTTAGAATCCTGTCTCTTGTGTTTTCTATCTGCCCTTGGGCAGATACTCTGATGATCTAATTAGAAATCCTAATTTACAGATGAAGAATATCGAATCTATATCCTAGTATTACTGTAATATTAAATGAAATAATTACTGGCAAATCCTAAGCACAGTGTCTAAGAGAAGTAGGCAGCCTGTAAAATAGGATTTATAACTCATCTTTAACATTATTACTTTATTTTATTCCCTTAACAATGCATTTAAGTAGATGTTCTTAAATACAATCTGGTTTGCAAATGAGGACCCTGAGACAAAGAAAATAGCCCTGTTATCAAAATTCACTAAGTATATACAAGTGTTGGTGTTCTAATCCATGGCTCCAAACCCCAAATGCCTCAATCCTTTTTACTACACTATTTTGTTGCATGGAGGATGTGTGGATGGATGGATGCATGGATGGATGGATGGATGGAAGGAAGGAAGGAAGGAAGGAAGGAAGGAAGGAAGGAAGCATGTAAGGAAAATCCCAGAGAAAGAGAAGACACATGAGAGCTAATCCCTACTATAAGGCTGACTGAGACACGAACCTAAATGGAGTGATGTAGTCTTTAGGTTGATGGGACAATGCTATCTAATTGTGCTACTCTTATTATGCTATGAAGTGTCAGCCTGAGCCCCACACACCACATACATGTAAAAGGGGGCCTGAAAGTGGTGTGGGGGAGGCTTGCTTACTGGTGTAAGTGATGTTGAACCCCCTGCCGGTTGTAGAGTGGTCAGACTGGAATTCCAAGCGGACTATGTGACCGCTGCTGGCCAGCTGTGAGGGCACCTCATGGCCCGAGAAGGTGCCCAGGACAGTGATATCAGAAATCCCATCATCTTTGATTGCGAGGAAATCAAACTGGGGTTCCACGTCAAAATCATTAAAGATGAGGTGAATTCTGCTTCCTGGTTCGGAGATGATCAACCAGACACAGTTCATGTTGTTGCCGTATTCCTCCGGATAATTGGGTGAGAGAATAATTCCTGATGATGCGGTAAAGTTGAAGAAACATGAAACTGTGAAGACACAAACACGTTTTCAAACAATTTTGCACACAAATAACCAGCCACATGAAACTAACTAATGGCGACCTACTTTGAAGGCAATCCACACCTGCAGAGTTAGGATCATCCAACTGTTTTTGAATTGGTAATTCTGTACCATAACATCCCTTCTTTCCCTAAATTGTAAATAGAATATTTCATGGTACACACCACAATCAGAGCCTGCACGTAATCGAGTATAGGCTTGACTCAGAAATGATCCAAGCCGAGTTCATGGACACCTGGGGCAAATATCAGAATTTCTAGTTACAGGTTTCTGCCTTTGGAAGAGCAAACATTAATATAAAAGGTGTGTTTGTGTTACAGGAGCAATTTCCAGAAAATAATACTGGTTCTGTTTAGTCTTCTAGGATAACTTTTCCCTTTGTATTTTATGTTTGCCTTTAAAGTGCATTTTTTCAAGTTATTAATTTTTTATTAGTTACAAGGTAACGATTAATAAAAAATAACTCAGAAAATCAGACCATGTGTTGGGTGGATAATATAAAAATCTCTCAGAACATTTCTTTTAAGAGTGTGTACTTAAAATCAGTTTACATATATACATATATAGAGAGAGGACACCTGTTGGATTTATCTCTAGGGTGTGGGTTTGCTTTTTATTCCATATAATTCCATATTTGTCTTTCAGGTTTCATGCTACATTTGTTACAAAAATGCTACATTTAGTTACATGCTACATATAGTTACCAAAAAATCTTGCTTTTAAATCACCATGAAGTACTTTGTTTCTATTTGTTAGAATCTTTTACTTAGGAGGAAGCAGGCAGTTCTCTGAACCCTAGGCTGATGCTACCCACACTCACAAGTGGTGTTTGCATGCTAGCACATTATCAAAGTTATCAAGTCCATTGCTGGAGGATGTCTCAGACCAACCCGCTTCAGAAGCTCTGGAGGGAAGCAAGGCTTCTGTATGCATGGTCTGTTCTTGCTAGCAGAGAGCTCTCAGCTACATTTTATGTAGGAGATGGAACAATACCATGGATTAGTTTTACCTGAGTGAGCAAAGCAAAGAAGTTGGGGTTTGAGAACGCCCATTCTTTTTTGGTCAATGAAGCACTCTCCAGAGGTTCTGAATGTTGCCCCCTGCCTCTTTCTTTCTTTCTCCCCAGACCTGGCAGTCATAGGATGGAACAGCCCCGTCTGGGCACAGTACTCACATACACAGCTGGGCTTGTTGCCAGACCACTGGTTGTTCTGTTGGCACGTGATCACCCGCTCCCCCACCAGCTCAAAGGCTGCCTGGCACTCGAACGTCAGCGTGTCCCCATGGAGGAAGCTACTGCCAGCCCGCTTCCCGTAGGCAGGGACACCAGGGTCCCCACATCCTCCCTTTTCAATTTCTGAAAATGGGAAAGGAAAATGAACCATGAAGAAAAAATACACAGTGAACATTTTTTTCTAACAATTTAGAAAGTGAATGAGTGGTTACTTTTTGCTGGTTGAAACATAGCTTTTGTTAAAAGTTTCAAAAGGATGCTCTGTTCATCTAACATTTAATTGCAAAAGCCTGAAAAAAAAAGGTGTAATTTAAATTGAGAGAATGGCACTTAATTTATTGTCTTTTAAGGGAGACGAACGGCTATGCAGATGTGTTGGCGAAACGAATGTTATGATTAATAGAATGCGTCTTCCTGGCCCACACACTTCCTACATGTTGTCCAGGATCACTGCCATTAAAATGTAAATACCAATTCTGTTTTAATCTATCTTTTTTTTTAATATAAACAATATAAGTAAGATTGTTCATTCACTACTAAATATTTAAATCAATAAATCCCTTTGAATATTCTTTCCCTTAATCTTAAAACTCATTTATGAAACAAAATGAATATATTAATGGTCTTCAGACAGAAAGAAACTATGCAGAACCAATCCCCTTTGCATTAAAACATGTTGGATACAAAGGCAACAAAACCGTCCATATATTTCAACCTTTGCTCTGTCTTAAATGCTCACTACACAGAATGTATTAAATAAAATGTTTCTTATTTATTCATACAAAAAATATGTTTTGAGGGCCAACTATGTGTCAGGCACTGTTCTAGGTAATTCTCCATGGGCTTACTCTATTATCTTGTAGTGACCAAGCACAACGCGTGTCCTTAAGGATATACCTTGGAGTTCAAGTTGCTGGCCTTGACTTGAACAGAGCTAGGAGTGGATTTACTTAATTTCACACTTGGGATGCCTTGAATCAAGTTTTTTTTTTTTTCCCACTTATAAAAGGCAGTTCATATCAATGGTTTATAACAGAAAAGAGCTTGCATTTGGCGTAGCCTCCCAGTTGGGTAGGGGTCTGGGCACCCCACAGTCCTGGCAAAGACACAGTGCTGAGGTCAGGAATCAGGATGTCAGACTTGGTGTTGAGCCTCTCGGGCTTTGCCTGGCCACCATAAGCAATTTAGTCTTTCAAAGTCTCATTTATATATCCTCAGCGACCACTTCCTATCTCCAAAGACAGCTGAGGGACTTAAACAATGTAATTCACATAAAGTACCCAGTATACAGGGCTCAAAATATTAGCCATTACTATGATTGTTAGTGAACCTTAGACTTCTAGAAGTTTGTTCGGCCTCCGTGATACTGAAATTCATAATTTCTTCTTACAAGGAAATAAATTACGGCATGTGGGATAATACAATTTTCTACATTAATTGAGTCTGAGAACTCCTGACTGCAGAGTGCTCAGACATAAAAACTGCTGTTGTTTGACACACAGCGTGGATGTGGATGAAGATCTGCCCGCTCCTCATGCTGAGGGTCAAGAACATGCTGTGGTCACGTATTTCCACCAAAGATGCTGATGTTCATGGGTCCAGATATCTGCAAGGGCTCTGTTGGCCTGGAACACAATGGGCTGTCTGACACATCCATTATTAGGTGCTCTGCAGAGACTAGTGACTAGCGATCAGGCAGCGTGTTCTGGTGTCAGTAGGTGTGTGTGCAAGTAGGTCTCACCCTTCAGCCATAGAAGAAATAGGAACATGGTTCCTGATTAGATCTCCCATGTGAAACCTCATTTGGGGGGCTCCAGGGGGACGTTCTGCACTCCTGACCCCTACACACCGTGCCTACTCTTGCCCCCCCCCCCAAGGAGCGTGACAAAATCCACAGATTTTGAAATTTCCCTTGGAGGTCACATTGCCTTCACTTGAGCACCTGCCTCTACTTCACATATGTTTTGAACAGGAGAACAAATGAAAGACGAAGAATCAGGCTGACATTGATCCAGTAACCGCATCAAACCTCTTTCCATACGTAATGGAATGTAAGATGTCAAAGATGACTCAAAGATGACCCTGAGATTCTTTTTTGGAAATATATACTAGAGTTTGCTATCAATTGACAGATTGAAGCCCCTAGAGAAAAAACAAAATTTGGTAAAAATATCTCTTTCAGATTAGCAATCTAGAAATGGGATTTGATAATTAGGGCCTAAAGAAAATACTCGGTTGTGATTCTATCCTCACTGCCTCTCTGATCCTGTTCATTCAGCAGCGGGGAAGATTTACCTATCAGTCTACTGGGGACTCCATAATGTTCCTGTTGATATGCTTTTCTTTTTCTTTGACAATGACCTTTAAAAGTACTTAATAATATTATTTCATTATCAATTTTTTATATTAATTTCCCTGAGTTTTATGAAGTGTTTATTTTTGAATGACATTTAAAAATTGATCTAGGGCACCTGGGTGGCTCAGTTGGTTAAGCGACTGCCTTCGGCTCAGGTCATGATCCTGGAGTCCCGGGATCGAGTCCCGCATCAGGCTCCCCCTGCCCTGCGGGGAGTCTGCTTCTCCTTCTCCCTCTGACCGTCCCCCTCTCGTGCTCTCTATCACTATCTCTCTCAATAAATAAATAAAAATCTTTTATTTATTTATTTGAGAGAGAGAGAATGAGAGATAGAGAGCACGAGAGGGAGGAGGGTCAGAGGGAGAAGCCGACTCCCTGCTGAGCAGGGAGCCCGATGCGGGACTCGATCCCGGGACTCCAGGATCATGACCTGAGCCGAAGGCAGTCACTTAACCAACTGAGCCACCCAGGCATCCTAAATAAATAAAAATCTTAAAAAAAAATGATTTAAAAAAATTGATCTAAAATATTTAAAGTACTTTGACATCACATGTTTACCATTCATCTCTAATACATTTTATTTTTATTAGATATATTATGCCTGTAAATGTTTATATAATAAATGAGTAATTGGATTCACAATGTGCTCTTTTGATGTGTCTGAGCATTTTTGTTTTTGGTGACATATCAGTATTAGATGACATAGGAAGCAAACAGCAAGACTGACGAGGGAGCCTGGTGGCCTGTTTCAGGCATGCTCATGTGGTCTTTCTGGAGAGAATAAAATGTTTGCATAAACAGGATTATCACTCTGGGCTAGATACTGGAAAATAGAGGGGTGTAAACAGATTAGCATAGAAAGCTTAGAGGTAAATTTCTGAGAAAGGTCATGAGAAATAGTAAGATGAACCATATGAACTTGTCAGTCAGTGGACAATTTTTGGTCTACAAAATGCAATTTCATTCAACTCAATGCAAGCCTCTTGAACCAGGAAACATAAGAAATAGTAAGATGAACCATATGAACTTGTCAGTCAGTGGACAATTTTTGGTCTACAAAATGCAATTTCATTCAACTCAATGCAAGCTTCTTGAACCAGGAAACCACAGCTGCTCACCAACACTTACCTGAGGTGTGGTGCATTGCTAATGGAGACCTGGCTGATTACTCCTCTTTCTGTAACATCTTTGCACCTGTCATGACCCCAGCACAGGGGGGAAGAAGCACAGATGAACGAACGTGTGTTTCGGTCATAACTGGGGCTCCTTCGCATAACTAAGTATCTTGGCTTTGTGTCCCTTATCAAACTCTATCCATACAATTTTTTTGACATATTGGGGCCTCACTGTTTTTGGTTTTCACTTCTTTATCTTCTACTCAACCCTCTAGGGGATGCCCTGTCTTCTTCCACCAGCCCACAGGACTGCACCTGAAGGTAGATCCACCTGTCAGGTGGAGTATGTCATAAAGAGACCAAGCAGTGTACAACAGCGTGCATTTTCCAAATACTTTTCATGTCTTCAACTTAAATTTCTCCCACTCAAGCCAGAGGCTACTCAACAGTCCAGGATTTCTCATGCTACCAAGCTTTCTTCCATTTTCGTCTCCCCCATTGAAGACACCACCTCTTCTCCTGTCATGGCATCCCCCTTTGCTAAAGTGCTTTCCAATTCCCACAGCCCAGATTTTGCTCCCTGTTTTAGAATTGATAGGTAGCTTTTCTGTAGAGGTTTTAGATCTAATCCAATCAGGACTGACTTTAGTTGTGAACTTGTCTCTCTACCCCATAGCACTGTAAATTCTTCCAGAATGATGACTAATCCATATCTTTCTTTGTATTTGCTAGTACTAAAAATAGTTCCTGAAACAAAGTGGATAGTGGTTATGTTATTTAAATGAACCTCTGAGATGTCTGACCAGGCTTAGGTACAGAGTTTCTAGCTATAACACAGGCTGCTGATTTTTTTTTCTCTACAAAGAGTTACTAGCCTTTGCCCAATTTTTTAGTCTGTGACTAATATTTTTGAGTACAGTACATCGACTGTTCTAGCTCTAAGGTCAAAGAAAAAAAAAATACCGAACAGACCAAGTCACTGATCTTGTGAAGTTTGTAGCTTAGGGCAGTCAGCCGAAAATAAACAAATAATACAAAATATATCAGACAGTGATAAATTCACTGAAGAAAGGGAAAGCAGTGTGAGAGGGAATGCAGAGTGGTAAGGGTTCTGTTTCAGGTGAAACATCCAGGGATGGTCTCTGAAATTCACATTTGAGCAGAGATATGAAGGGAGGACACATCCATGAGTATAAGAAAGCAGAATACTGCATGTACAGTGAGCAAAACTAAAACATGGGGCTGAGTGAGGAATCTGTCTGGCAGGGCTGACAAACAGCTAGGGACCAAGTGTGATCACAGTCTGGCAAGAAAGGGGGAGACAAGCAAAACAGAAAAACAATGAGGGGGTCAAGGACCAGGCAATGTAAGACTTAATAATATCCTAGTCAAGGTCTTGACTAGGATATTATTCTTTCATTATACTTTATGATAATCATGCTGTAAGAGCTATAGAAACCACACGTGATGAGCAATTGTTTCTTAGTTTATTGTGAAATTGACAAGAACACCAATCCCAAATTATCATGAAGATTTTGACTTCTATCAACCGTGTATATACGCTTAGTGGGCAATGTGTGTTACAGGAAAGGGAACTGCACAGAGAATCTAGGTTCAAGTCACAGATCTTTTATTTCATATTCATGGAAACT